TAATTTATAACTATACTACAAATTAATTATTATATTATTATAATATTTTTATTGTAAATTATATTATATTATATATTATAAGATATAACTACTATATAATATATTTAAATTATATTATAATATTGAAGGGTAATTATGGAAAAAATAAAGAAAATAATTTGGAATGGCTATTCCTCACATGTGAGGAAGGAATGATGATTCACCCAACATGGGTGAATGACCATTCTTTTTGAATGACTATTCATTTCTTATATATCCAACCAAACATCAAACTTGAATTCTATTCCATTCTATTCATTTCCTTTCTACCTAACCAAACACACCCTAAAACTTGTTTCAAATTGAACCCAAAAATTTGTGGGCATTATAATGAGACACATACTACACAACCCACCTTTTATGGGTGGGTGACCCATAGCATTATTTATTTATTTCTGTCATCGTTTGTATTACTGGTTTAAGTTTAACTCAATTTAAACAGTGAGTGCAGTTTGAACTTGTATTTGATAATCATGCAATTCAAATTATATTCCATGTTTGAATTGAGTTAAACTATCCAACTTAAAGTTTAGCTCCTCTTCAGTTCAACAATTCAAACCATTTTTTAACAGTAAAAAGTGTCAACTCTCTCTGCTTTTCACACCTATCAAATATAAATTTGAATTTATTTTTTATTCAAATTAAAGTTTTAATTACACATCTAAACCTCAATTTGAACTACAATTTCAACCATATTAATTTGAATTTTTCTCTTCAAATAAAAAGATTTAAACCAATAAAATTGAAACCAACAAATCAAATCAAACGGGCTTTTATATATTTGCTCATTTTGACGTGATTTTACCCCAATACACTGTTCGAAACAAGCAAAGAAACAAGTTAAAAAGTGACAGAAAACTGTAATAAAATATGAAAAAAATTTCATATTGGTACCTTATGTTTTAGCATAATTATCTTTTAGTATTCTGTGTTTTTAATAATTTTAAATTAGTACCTCGACGTTTTTTAGAAAATCATTTTTAAGTGACTTAAGTCATTTTTAAGAATGTATAATGTCAAAATTACCATTCTCATTAATTAATTAAAAAACTAATAATGAATTTAGAAAAATTCTGAAATTTTTTTTAAACATTTAAAAATTAAAAATAAAAATAATGCTTTAAATTAAAATTTTTTTTTCAAAATTTATTAATTTTTTATAAAATAATGAGAAGAGTAAATTTGACATTTTACATATTAAAAAATAATCTTAAAATATTAAAGTTTTTTTTTTATTTTTTTTATTTTATAAAATATCAAGATATTAATTTAAAATTACTATAAATACATGATACTAAAAAAGACAATTACAAACTTGATACTAATATAGGTCTCGTTTATTTAAACAATTTGAGTTTAGAATTTAAGTTTTATTACAGTAAAAAGTTTTAAAAAATAATCACATTTAATTTTTTATTATGATAAAAAATTATTATATAAAATTACATCTCAATTCAAATTAAAAACTCGAATCAATAAGGCCCATTTATTTCGCTGATTCGAGTTTGTAATTCGAGTTGAGATGTGATTTTGTGTGTGAGTTTTTTACTGTAGTAAAAAAGTTAGATGTGACTGTTTCTGAGAGCTTTTTACTGTAGTAAAACTCGAATTCTAAACTCGAATCGGAGAAATGAACGGGATAAAGTAAACCGATATAAAATTCTTCTTAAAATATGCGTATGCACCTAGAAAAGTAAAAAAGTCAAGTGTTTGTGAATTCTCACTCTCATTACAAACGCGTCGCGCAAACGCACACCACTTGTCCAAAACGGTAAAAAAGCAAACCCCAACAAAAAGCCTATTTCTCCTGCAAAAGTCTTGCCCTACTCCGCCACCACACCTTACTCTTCTTCTTCTTCTTCTCCGCCGAACTCCGTCTCTTTCTCTCCCTCTCTCCTCTTTCTCTCTCTAGCTGGAAGACTGCAAACCGTCATGGGTGACGTCTCCAATTCGGAATCAAACCTTGCAGATCGAAAGGTCCCGAAGCTTCCCATCCCGGGACAAAGAAACATCCTCATCACCAGCGCCTTGCCCTACGTCAACAACGTTCCTCACCTCGGCAACATCATCGGATGTAATTATTCTCTTTCTCCTTCTTCTCATGCATTCCAACTGTTTGAGGTTTTGCCTGAGTGAGCCATTTTAAGAAATGGAAAAGAAACGAATTTTTGACCCCTTTTTTTGGATTTTTTTGGGTAGGTGTGTTGAGCGCCGATGTGTTTGCAAGATACTGTCGTTTACGGGGTTACAATGCGATTTACATCTGTGGAACCGATGAGTACGGCACGGCCACCGAGACCAAAGCCATGGAAGAGAAATGTAGTACCAAAGAGATTTGCGATAAGTAATTATTCTCATTTTTGAATTTTTATACCTGAAAATAATTCATAGCGTGAATTATGAGACGGGTTGGTTTTGGAATTTATGGAGGGTTTTATGTTCTTATTTTAAAGATTTTTAAAAAAAATTTTGTTTCGGGTTTTTTTATTTTTTGTAGTTACCGTGCAATTCATGGAGGTTTATAAATGGTTTATTCTAAGCTTTGATGATGCTTCTGTGCTTTATGCATCGTCATCTTATTGTTTAGAGATTTTTTTTTTTAAACTTTAGTTGTGGGGGATTTTAAAGGTATCGTGCAATTTATAAAGAGGTTTATAAGTGGTTTAACATAAACTTTGATGACGCTTCTGTGATTTATGGAGGTTTTTTTAGATAGATTTATGGAGGGTTATGTTATTATTTTAGAGTTTTTTTTTTTTTTTAATCTTAATTTGGGCTTTTAATTGTTATAGGTACCACGCAATTCATAGAGATGTTTATAAGTGGTTTAATATAAGCTTTGATGAGTTTGGGCGTACATCAGCCCCGCAACAGACCGAGGTTTGCCAAGCAATCTTCAAGAAGCTGCTGGATAACAATTGGCTCTCAGAGAACACAATGCAGCAGGTACATGGTCATTTCTGGATTTAGTCCTAACTTGGGCATGTTTAGATTACCTCAAAGGGCCAGTAGATTCTATGATTTTGTGTCTGAACGTGTACGTGTGGCCAGAAACGTCTAGTGCGTTTTATAGCTGCAATTTTGACATAAGTTCTTGCTATGTTTCAGCTTTATTGCGACACATGCAAAAGGTTCTTGGCTGATCGCCTTGTGGAGGGTTCCTGCCCGACTCCGGGGTGCGGTTATGATTCTGCTAGAGGAGATCAATGTGAAAATTGTGGGAAGCTTTTGAATCCAACAGAATTGACGGATCCTAGGTGCAAGGTATATTATTTCTTTTCTGTATTGCTTCTAGCCTTAGACTTCGGGCTTGTTTGGAAGAGCTTTGGCTTTTGGTTAATAGAAGAAGAGAAGCCAAAGCTGTCACTTTTCAGTTAGTGTTTGGAAGCGCATTTTTAAGATAGCTTAATAGGTCAAAATGATTTTCAAATTTTCTAACAAGCAATAAAATTGTGAGAATAAAGTTTATTATATCTCACTGAAACTCTTATACAAGTTTCAAAGTCCATTCAAAGGAACTTTTTTAAGAATCCACATTTTGTGGCTTTGATGCGAGGCTCTTATGGAGAGCTACAACTTTTTTGTCATATTATCCAAACACTTCTAGAAGCAACTTTTAGACTCAGGAAGCCAAAAGAAGCTTCCAGTAAGCTTTCAAAAAAGGGCCATTTAGTTATTTTACTTATATATTTTAGATTGTCATATCATATGGTTTGGATTTGTTTAATTGATTCTTATATTGACGTTTTGAGTGCCCAGGTAATTGAATTCGTGTTAAGAACCATATCTCTGTCTTTTTCTCTGCAACAAGCCCGTTACACAGTCTCCAAATTTTTTATGGTTCCTTGGGAAAAAAAATTAGGGTAATTAATAAAAAAAGATTGTTGTTTAAGTAACATGTTTCTACAGGCCTAAGACCGTTTGGTCTAGTGGCACCGGGGAGGGTTTGCGTGGGGTGGGGTTTGGGGGGTTGCGAGTTCAATCCCGTATTTGTATAAAAAGAAAAAGTAACATGTTTCTACAACCTAGCAAATATAGGCATGTTCTGTTTCTCACACCACTACTTGCACGCAGGTTTGTGGGACAACTCCACATATTCGTGATACAAACCACTTGTTTCTTGAGCTCCCTTTGTTGAAAGACAAATTGGTTGAATATATCAACAAAACGTCAGTGGCTGGGTCTTGGAGCCAGAATGCCATTCAAGCTACAAATGCTTGGCTTAAAGAAGGGCTTAAACAACGATGCATTACTAGGGATTTGAAGTGGGGAGTTCCCGTTCCGCATGATAAGTTTAGAGACAAGGTTAGTAATTAATCATATAAATCTTCGTTTGCGCTACTTGGCGTTTTCATTTCTTTTCAGTTGGCTAATAAAAATCATATAAATTTTGTTCCACCATGAGAGATGGGCAGGTATTCTATGTTTGGTTTGATGCGCCTATTGGGTATGTGTCAATCACTTCATGCTATACACCCGAGTGGGAAAAGTGGTGGAAGAATCCTGAAGAGGTTGAATTGTTTCAGTTCATGGGCAAGGATAATGTGCCGTTCCATACAGTGAGTGTTAATTCTTCAAAATATGTGTTAAGGCAACGACCAAGTTGCTTCTTTGGGGATATGCTTTTTCTTGTTTTGTTGAATTACATATTCTTCCTCCAGCTGAGAGATATTTCTTTCAAATCTTAGTGCTAATTTAATTTTTATTGCATTCATTCATGTATAGATCTGTGTAATTGTTCTTTTTTCCTCTCAAATTTTATTTGTATTTTTCGTTATGTAAAGCCTCTTGAAAATTCTCGTAAACAGAAGGTTTGCCTTTGATAATAACATGATAAGCTACTATAGTTTCATATAAATTTTACATTTGTAGACGAGGGCAAGCTGTAGTGTCGTACTTGTATTTTTCTGGTCAGTCTAGATGCGGCTAGGTTTTAACTTATTCGGTAAGTCTAGATGAGGCTAGGTTTTAACTTATACGGTAAGTCTAGATGAGGCTAGGTTTTAACTTATTCGATTAGCGTGCAACTAGCCTTCTTGAAAACATGGCTTAATAACTTAGATTTGTTTCGGTCCTCAATTACTTTATTTCCAACTCTTGGCTTGATGTATTCCCTTTTGGATTCCTACTGTTCTTCTTGTGTTTAATATTTCAAATGCCCCTTCCTCTAAATGATGCAATTATTTGCTCCATGTCCCCTAGTTATCAATGCAAGAGCAGCTTGGACTTTTCAGCCCCAGATTCATGATTACACTTTTGCGTGTTTGTCAACTAAATCATTGAGCTGTTTAAGTATATTGCAATTTCAGGTGATGTTTCCATCAACTCTTCTTGGAACTGGTGAAAATTGGACATTGATGAAGACAATCAGTGTTACCGAATACTTGAATTATGAAGCAGGTCAGTCCATCCGCACTCATGGCTATCTATCATGTGAAATTGAATGGATAAGTTTGATGAACTTCTCTTGCAAGATGTTCTTATATCAACATCTTGATGTTTATATATTGCTTTTCTATTAATTTCCAGGAAAGTTTTCTAAGAGTAAAGGCATAGGCGTTTTTGGTAACGATGCAAAAGATACAAACATTCCTGTGGAAGTTTGGAGATATTACTTGCTTACCAATAGGCCTGAGGTAATCTCATTGATGAATATTTTATGTTTATTCGTTTGTAGAATTGTTCTATCCTTATTTCTTTCTTCATATCTTAACTGATCTGTTCAATTGGTTCCTAAATTAGGTTTCAGACACATTATTTACATGGGCAGATCTGCAAGCAAAACTGAACAGCGAGTTGCTCAATAACTTGGGAAACTTCATAAATCGAGTTTTGAGTTTTATTGCTAAACCTTCAGGTTAGTTGGAATTTGTTGTCTCTAGGATCTGTTTTCATGACCCTTTTGCATAAGAACTATTGATCATGGGTGCAGAGTTGGGCAGATTGATCACGGGTGCAGAGTTGGGCAGATTATAACCAAGTTCTCAAGTTCTTACCTTCAGTTCATCACTTTATCTCCTTTATTTATTTAGATATATGTCTTAAGTTGTAAACCGTGTTGATTTAGCTTGATGCTGCTATTGTTGATATAAGTTTTGAGTCATGCCTTTTTCTCAGAATCTCCTTTTTTAGACGCCCTTCATTTATATAGAAAAAAAAATTACGTATAGAAAGAGTGCTCGCGTGAATCATATTTCTTATATAAAACTGAAACCTTTTGGAGTATTTAAAGAAATTTTCAATTATTTTCTATTCGCTTTTTTCACTTTAGGGCCTTTTGTTTGTGGGCCAAAGAGACGCTACAGTTGTGACGCTCTGCAGCAATTTAAACTGAATATTCATTATGCAGGTCAAGGATATGACTCCACGATACCTGATGCTCCAAATGATGTATCTGACCCGGTGACTGAGAAATTAGCCGAGAGGGTTGGTAAATATGTGGAGCAATATGTTGAAGCCATGGAGAAGGTAATTGAGGCACCATTTAACTTGTTCATGTAACATGAAGCTTCCTCTTTCTCCACATATCTTTTTACACTGACATAACATTTTGTTTGCAATTTTCATAGGTTAAACTAAAGCAAGGATTGAAAACTGCAATGAGTATTTCTAGCGAGGGAAATGCGTATCTGCAAGTACGCTTGGAACATTTCTAATTGTGTTGATGCACCTTCTATTATTATTTATGCATTCAATAGATGTTTGATTTGTTCAAGTTAGTCTATATATGAAGCCAATTTTCAGTTGCTGCTTTAAGGGGCGCCTAAAAATTAAAATGTTTTTGCAGGAAAGCCAATTTTGGAAGCTATTCAAGGAGGATAAACCACGCTGTTCGATTGTTATGAAAACTTCGGTGGGGCTAGTACATATTCTTGCATGTCTCTTAGAACCTTTTATTCCATCCTTTTCTCTTGAGGTAATAAATCTTGGCAGCAGATTTCTATGTGGCAACACTTCTCATTGTGTGATCATGATAGATTGTTTTAGGATTAATTACAAAACTTCCCCCTGAATTATACCCCTTATAACAATTTACTCCCTAATCTTTAACACGTAACATCTGTTCCCTTTGAACAATGAAATGTTAGGAAAAAAAAACCCATCCGTTAGGTTTTTAATTGAAATTGACATTTATTTTGCTATTTTGATAATTTGTGGTTTAAAATTGAATCTGAATTTAAACTAATTTAAATATTCAAAAAAACTTAATAAATTTTTTTATTCTACTAAAAAAAAAAGATTCATAAAATTTTTAAATTACATTCAATCAATAATGGATGTATTGTAATTAAAAGTTCAAATTTAAATTAGTTTTAAATTCAAACTAAATTTTAAATCATAGAGCTACCAAAACACCCCAAAATAACAAATTAAATATCAATGTCCATTAAAAAAATCTAACGGATGGGATTTTTTGTTAAGATTTCATTGTTCAGGGGGAATGGATGTTATGTTTCAAAGATTCGGGGGCAAAGTGTTACAAGGGGTAAAGTTCAGGGGGAGTTTTTGTAATTAATCCAATTGCTTTAATATGGCTGGACGCTAAGGATTCCTTCTTCTTGATTTAAGGTATTCAAGCAGCTTAATTTGTCTCCTGAACAACTTTCACTTGCTGACGGAAAAGGAGATATTGATAGGGCTAAGCGACCGTGGCTGATCGTACCTTCTGGTCACAAAATTGGGAAACCAGAACCCTTGTTTAAGGAATTGGTATGTCAAGCAAATCTTCTTCTTCTTCTTGTTATTAGATACGATCTGGCTGCCTCAACCCATTCTATCTTAGTAAATTCTTATTTTGCTCATCTTATTGTTCACAGAAAGATGAAGAAGTAGAATCTTTCAGGAAGAGATTTGCTGGAAGTCAAGCTGATAGAATTGAGAGAGCTGAGGCTGAAGCAGAGAAGGTGGCCGAGCAACTGAAGAACATAAAAGTTTCAGGTTACTTGAGTTTCCAATTTTCATCTTGTTAAGCTAATGCTAGTTCTTTTATGCGTGTTGGAAGCGTTGGAAATCCGTGTCTAAGATACATAGGTTCTTCATAACAGACAACAGTGGAAAGAAACAAAAGTCAACAAAATCTGAAAAATCAATTAAATCTGAAAAGTCAGCAAAATCTGCAACTGAACCAGAAATTTCAATCTCAAGACTGGATATCCGTGTCGGCCTGATCACAAGAGCTCAAAAGCATCCAGATGCTGATTCATTGTACGTAGAAGAGATTGATGTAGGTGAAGGACAACCCAGAACTGTCGTTAGTGGACTTGTCAAGTACATACCTCTAGAAGAAATGCAGGTATTGTTTTTTACTTTTACAGGCCTTTCAATGATGATACCTATGTAGTGTTTGGTTCATGGGTTTCGAACCATGTGGTGCAATTTGAATTGGGAATCTAATCCAAATTAGTGTCTGGAGAGAAATTATTTCTATTTTTTAGTGGACTTGTCAGGAAGCTATCTGTTGTTAATTCACCTAAAATTTTATTTGGCAGAATCGGAAGGTCTGTGTTCTATGCAACCTGAAGCCTGCGACCATGCGGGGTATTAAATCACAAGCAATGGTTCTTGCTGCTTCCAACAGTGACCACACCAAGGTAAGTGACCACATTATTCTTGACACTGATCTTGGCAGCTTGTATTGTGCTGAGCTACTTTTTGTTTCTTTGACATGCCATTTAACCAATCTCTAAACCGAAGCTTTTCAGTCAGAAAATGAAAGGACTTTTGTGGATGCATTTTTTCATTGTCTGTTTCTTCATTTGTTGGAAAACACAATATATTTCATGAAAAATGTGTGCATAAAACAGTGTTTTCTTAATTTGAAAGAATTCTGCAAAGTTGTTCAAATCGAATCTTTGTTGTGTTATTTTTTGTTGAACTAATTTCACTGATGGTTTCCGTTCTCAGGTGGAATTGGTTGAGCCACCAAAATCTGCATATGTTGGAGAGAGAGTTTCGTTTCCGGGCTTTGCAGGGCAGCCTGATGATGTTTTGAACCCTAAGAAGAAAGTGTGGGAAACATTGCAAGTAGACTTGCATACTAACTCACATCTGGTTGCTTGCTACAAGGATATTCCATTCACGACATTAGCCGGTGTCTGCACCGTGTCTACCATTCCCGAGGGATCAATTAGGTAAACTGTAGGTAGAAATTGGTCTCAACGGCTCCTTATATCTGTCACACTCCTAGTGAGAATGCTGAACGCAAGAGAAGGAAAGAAAAAAAGTTGATACGAGTTATTGAGAGGAGAAAGAAAACCCAAGATGCTTAATTAAAAAAAAATACACAATAAACAATCTGCTTATGTACCGGAGGTTTTGAGTTCCCCACCCGCCCCACCAGCTCTAAATTGGATAGAGATGAGGGTGTTTGTCTGTTTGTGTATTTTGTTGTTGTTGGTGGGCTTTTATTTTTTTTATTTTTTCCCCTTCAATCATAACTCTGCATATTTGAATGCCAAATTTGCTAGTGTTTAGCACACCATTTTTTTCCCTGATTGGCAGTAAGTGGGGGCACTCAACAAGATCAAAGCCAATGAAAGATTTTGATGCAAAAAAAAACTTGAATCAATCTAATACATGCGACCTAATAAAAAATTCACATTAAATTTAGCTTGCTTATCGGTTATTTACGTTTCTGATCTGTATGTAGAATCACGGCGTACCTAGTTCTTTATGTTTCGATGAGTGAAAAAATGGATAAATTATCCTTTAAATTTTTCATTTTAAAAAATTATTCCTATCTTCCTATACCGGGGACAATTGCTAAAATTTTGATGAAAAATGACACGTCACTTGTGCTCTATTTTGAAGGAAGAGAAAAAAATTTGAAGTGTGACCTAAAGAAGGCGTTCTTTCTTAACGTTAACAACATTCACTAGGGGTATGTCTGTTTGATTGTATTAGAGCACCGTGCTGTATAATAATACAATAAGATCTCGTTTATTTTACCGATTCGAGTTTTCAATTTTAGGTTTTTACAGTAAAAAGTTCTTAGAAAAGATCACATCTAACTTTTTCTGCTACAGTGAAAAGCTCTCAGAAAATGTCACATCTCAGCTTGAATTAAAAACTCGAATCCGTGAAGTGAACGAAGCATAATATTATGTTTGATGTGATCATCACATTACATAGACTAATATAGTTCATGTCGTATTATTAAATACGGTTTATTTTTGACATATTGTATTGTATTATTTTATAGCTAATTTATGATACATGAGCCTACAATTGTTTAAAAATTGAGGGGGTACAATGCAAATTTATATTTTTTAAAAAATTATATTTTGACCCCTTTTTTATTTTTTGCAAACTTACATTTTAACCCCAACACTTTTGCAAACTTACATTTGACCTTAAAATTTTTATAAAATTATATTGACCCCAAATTTTTTAAAATTACATTTTGACCCTTGAATTTTTAAAATTTTACATTTTTGCTTATATTATACTTCATAACACCAAACACCATACTATATTATAACAATACAATACAATATAAGCTATCAAACACGGCCTCGTTGTATTTCTACTTATCAAAGAAAAAAAATAGCTACTTTCAGGGCCATTATGCACAATTGGAAATGAAAAATGCTTTTTGGCCAAACGATGATTCATTTCCATCAGACACATGCACTAGAGCCCACCTGATGGGATTGTAACAACCCAACTTCCCGAGCCGTTATTATCCATGAACTTATAGTTACTAAAATTTCAAAAATATATATATACATTTTTTGAAAACTTCATTTAAAATACTAAATCCTTTAAACATACAAGTTTCAGAATTTACTTAATTTAATCATCAATACTGGTTCAACACCTAAATATAAGAAACGTTAGATAATGTAATAAATAGTTTCAACCTGCTCTTCAACTTAACATAATCGAACATATATACTAGTAAAGTCTCCAAGCATATAATATAGAGACATAGTCATTCAAATCCATTCTTCTACACCATACTTAATCGGAATCTAAATATATGAAACCATAACTTCAGAATTTAAATTCAAAAATAATTTTGCGGAATTCTTTGCATGGTGGTATCCGAATCCAAACTCCACCGTACACGTCCTCTGCCAAGTCCATCACTGAGTCGTAGGTTGTTTACCTATAGCATTAACAACTTATGGCCCAAAACTCAGCAAGTACAAATATCCTCACAAAATATTTTGCATACAAAACACATGTAGAAATGCCTGACCATTTATGCTTAACTTATGGAAATGTATTTTATTATCATTAGGAGCTTGTGCTCGTATGTATGTGCACTAGACCAATGGGAGTGGGGGAGCGACCCAAACATTTAGTCCAACTACCCCAGGGTCATAATTAAATATTTATTACCTCCCATCCCATGAGCCCAAGGAAAGATCCTCATGTACTCATGTTAGAGGTTGGTACAACACTTAACTTTTCATCATTACCATAACCTCTTATTTAGGTGAACATGTGATTCTGATCATGTCACAATATAATCATTATAACATACTTTATCAAGAAGCGATATAATATTCACATCATATGCATTATTTATGTCACTAAAGTATAATTTTGTAAAATATTTTAAAGAACACACATTTCATTATACTCATCAATCACAAACACATAATATGTGCAATGCAAACAAGCAAGCAATTTCTCAAACATAGCATTTTAAAACAATTCATGCTCTCTGTGAGGTTTGTACTCACCTGGGTGTCTGCAATTACCCACAACAAACTTTCCTCGTAACATGGTGATTCTGTATTCAATTTAGTATCAACCATCGACCGTCAGTTTATTTTTGAGATTTTGACTTGATTTAACTAAGTCTTGTGAATTTAGTCTCGTTGGTATTCTTAGGATTAATTAATCTAATTAATAATTCTTCTCTATAATTTAATTACATTTTCTAAGTAAATTAAGTAATTAGGTTTACTAATCAGTTAACTAACAATTCCCTTAATTTATTTTTTACATTTGGATTAACTAATAAATTTTATTTGATTAATTAGTTAATCCTTGTTAAGGTTTCATTAACCGACTTGATTTAATTGCCCTTTATTAACTAATTATCCTTCTTTCATCCTTAATTAATTAATTAATTAATTAACTCTCCATATAAGTCACATTCATTAAACTTCTATTAATTAACTAATAAGTTAACTTTTTTTTATTTACGTAATTAAATTTTGTTAATTTTTTAGATAGTTTCGATTTATTTGACACTTACTTTCTACCAAATTTATTAATTAATCAACATAATTAGTTAATTAATTATCTAATTAGTTTTTACTAATTTCCTAAAAGTTTAGAAAACTAAGTTTATTTCTAGATGGTATACTTTAAGGTCACATATTTGTTCTTCTCTAAGTCTAATTGTGTCCTTTTCTATTCCTAAACGTTTTTAAAATGAGAGAATTATATATCCTACCCCTAAAGTTATGAGACTAATTAAAAGTACTATTTTAAAATACCTAAGATATTTTGATCACACATATTTTCTTGTGATAAATTCAAACCCTAAAGAGCGCGCTCTCTCTCTAACATTTCTCTCTCCCTGCCACCCTCCTCTCTCTCTCCCCGCTCCTTCCCTCTATCATCCTGTCCTTCTCTCTGGCCATTCTTCCAATCATCGCTGTCGCAGTTGAAGTCATTGCTGTCGCATGGGAAGCCCGTCATGCACCGTCGCCGTTCTCGTTTGCTTCCAACATCGCCATCACCGTCGTTGTTCTCTGGTTCGCCGTCACGATTGGATGTTGCGGTCGCTAAGAGATCGCAAAATCATCGAGCTTTTCAAATCAGGTTAGTTTATTTTTTGAAGGCGGGCCTTGGCAACGTGGTGGGAGCGCTTGCGTTTGCACCCGGGGTCCAAGGTTCGAATCCCAAAAATAGCCTCTCCTTTGGGGGGTAAGGCCGCGTACATATGCGATTGAGCTTTCCCCCGAGCCTGTCATAGTACGGGAGCCTCTTTGGCACTGGGGTCCACATAAAAATATTCCAAGAGTCTCCCACTTGGACGTCATAATCATACAACAAACATTCACGCATCACAACATAAGCATCAACTAAGAATCTCACATAATAAACACAACCCCAAAACAATCATGCATAATAATGTATCGATAGGATACAATCATTATACATAATTAGGCTCTAGAGATTCATCAAAGCATGGTGACAACTTAATATATGGATCGAAAACTACCGAATGTCGCATTTTTTCCTGTCACATTATCAACTAAAAATGTGTCTAACACAATATCACATACAAAGTGACAAGATCCATAAATATGCATGTCACACACAAATGACAGTAGCTCCCACTAACTCAATACAACTACAGGCTCCTTACAGTCCCGAGTGGGATGTGTGTTCTTAAAACACCTAATAGGTAAGCCTCTAGTGGAACTGCCAACATGTTTATAGGCGTGTTTTCAATAACATGAGGCATTTTACAATTTTTCTTTACAAAATAGAACACAATATCATTATGCTTGAGCGAACAATGCTCCTAGTGTTCTAAGAGAAATATACTATTATGAAACTTTCACAACACAGTTTTAGCCAGTCTAGAAATGGAGTGAACTACTCCTAATGCTGAAACAATGTTTCACAATCACATCACAGAAATAGCCTCATGATACGCCACATACGCTGCATCACAGTCAAGGACGCTATGAGTGTCTATTTGACACTTTTCAACAAAGTAGCTTCTCTTTTTATCATTTATGCAGCCTACATAATCGGCATCACGAGATCCAACTACAACAAAAGTGTTAGTTTGTCAACACACAACTATCTGGTACTTCATTCCTAGTTAATTCAATAATAATAACAACAATCACTCAAGTACCGAATCTGCACGCCAACAACAAACACAATAATAGGACCGTATTAGATCACACAACGAGTCGGTGTCGTTGCCTACCGCCTTGACCTTCCTCAAGAATTGTCTCACGTGCACAACATATTCCACGTTTCTATGCTTCATAAGTGTCAGCCTGACCCGAAAGCCATTGTGCAATGGTATGACGTGCCGATCCAGTATGACACGACTTACAAGGAAGCGCCAGTTCAGATTCTTGATCAGAAAGTGAAGAGCATACGTCATCATGAGATACCGTTAGTAAAGGTGTTGTGGCAACACCATGGCATTGAGGAAGCAACGTGGGAATTGAAAACAATGATGCAGAAACGATATCCGCATCTGTTCATATCTTGAGGTAAGTTTCAATTTCGGGGATGAAATTTCTTAAGGGGGGTAGAGTTGTAACGCCCTTAAGAATTAATCATGTTTAATTATGCTAATTGTGGTTTATTAGTGTGCCTAATTTGATTTTCTTAATTAATCAAGAAATTTTAAACTTACTTTTAGTATTTATAATTTCACCCCGGAAGTATGTGGAAATACACTTGGTTACCGAATCGAATTCGGATGCAGAAGCGTGGGGGTAGCGGATCGTTCATAATAAAAATTTTCATAAAACCTTTGAG